ATTGACCATGTCGAGACGTATTGGAGGAACGAAATTTACTCAATTTCTAAAAAGAACATTATGCTCTTTTACTGCCATGATACAATTGATAAATCCAATTGTTATATAATCGGGGATAAGTTTATTATTTAAATGAATTTTGGTTTGCAAATGTCAGTTTTAATTTTAAGTAGACTTTTGGTCGATTTTTAACAGGATTCGTAGTACAATATCTTTAATTGATCAAAAATATTGAGTTAGCTCCTTACACGTCTACTTCAGAATTGCGCCAGGTCTACTTGTCAGCCCAAGTTAGGGCTATTAAAGAAATTTGATCCGCATTTTAATTGTTTTGATGTTATTGGTAACAGGTTAAACATAAGTTCAAAGGTTATTCTGCTAGTTATCTAAAGGTTACTTAAAATTCTTGGGATTAAATTTAAACTGTAGATCTATATTCGATGTTAGAAATGTTTGTCTGAATCACTTATGATGATGGAGTTGTGACACTGAAGCAACATTTTCACGATTTGTTATTTCATTTCGATTTGTTCGCTATTGTACTATCTAATAATGCTAACGATAGAGCTGAGATTCATCCATCCACAAACCAAATTCAGAAATCGCCGCCGTATCAGGAAATGCCCACTTGTAGTGTGGCAATGATGTGGAGGCTAATACAAACGGACATTATTACAGATCTTCTTAAACTTGATGTACGGAAAAATTGTTAGTAGACCCACATATGATAATTGGTAATTGTAGGGGCCCGAAGGGTTTTAGTTACTCTTATCGATAATATATGTGGTGAGGTATTGGTTAATGAGCTACCTTGCCCCTACCTTGAGAAAATTGATTCTAATAATCAGACGGCAAAAAAGTTCAATAGCTACTGTCAATGTTTGCGTGAGCAGGAGACGCGCATGTTAGATGAAGAAAATGAAAGTTGGGTAGGAAGGTTTTCTAGAGCTGTTGGGCTGAGTTAGGACGCGCTTGCTTCTAGGGATGCTTCTAGGCTAGTGCCGGATGCTACCCAGGGTCCATGTATTTAATACTGTATTTTGCTATGAGAATGTTTAGAAGCTAAACCGTGAGCATAGGTCTATTAAAAATGAACTTTAAGATTGTACGAAGGTCTTATATTTTGCTTGTATATTCTAAACGCAAGGAGAATTATATGTTTCCACAATTATGAGGTGTCAGCTTTACCAAGTAGCCCACATTAAGCTTATGTTTGCACTATTGAACTCATAATCGTAGTATAATGCTGGAATACTAATATTCTAACATCCCCTTATGGGTACGACACTACTGAAACCAAGGCTAAAAAGAGGAATTAGTTTTAGATGACCATTTTGTAAAAATAAGTGGCTCTGTCAAATGTTATCAAAGTAAAGCAATCCAACATTAGGATACAAATTATAAAATAGTAAATAAGCGGATGTTAGAATACCTCGTATGAATACAGGTTAGGAAAAGAGTTTGAATTGTTGCGGAGGTGGCTGACAAAATTGGTTATGACACAAACTTCGATGTTTTATTTTGTAATTATTTACCCCATCTGAAGAGGTGTGAGTTCTACAGTTAAAGCTGCAAAATGTATCAGGAAAGAACAGTTTTAAATCGTATTGTCAACTATAATTTATTAAACAATTTTAGCCATATTTACCCTCCATTAGAATGAAATTCCATTGGACCTGTTTCATCCATCTTTTGTATTACCCATGGAGGTGAAGGATTAGGGTTAGAGTAGGAGTTATTCGTTCTAAAATAAATTCAGGAAATTAGAAGACATTTGTTGCTCAGTTCCCGTCCCTTAGAAATTCAGGCTTCACTAGAGCAGCTTTTCAACGCGTTATTTAATTAAATAGCATAGATTTTAGGTCGATGAATACGTGGCTTTATAATACAAAAATTCACGTACAAGTAATGCACTTGTTGCCTCATCCCCGTATTATATGGATCAAAAAGTGGTAGTTCTACCAAGAGTCAATTCGACACCCCTATTCCTACCTGTAATATAGTGCGGGACACCCCATAGTTTCTATGATAAGTAAATTCAATAAGACTTATGGTTGGAGTCCTGTTAAAGCCCACCCCATGCCATTTGGTGGAATACACGAGTTCGGGCCGGGCAGTCTTCGACCTGGCTTATTTTATTTGAGGTATGGTACTTTGTGAGTTAGATTACTTAACTTTAATTTAAAAATTATTTAAAGAAACTGCAAGCTTTATATTAAAGAAAACGTGGGGCGTTTTCATAGCTTAGATCGTATTAGCATAATGACCTCATTATTTCATCGGTCAAGAGGATTACTTTGTAATGACATTATATTAAATTAGTTACTAAATTTTAGTAATAACCGTAGATCAGACCTCCAAATTCCATTCCCTCATAGTGCCAAAAAAATTACAATCTTCATCTCTGAATTCCTTTCAAAACTACTGCATCTATGAATTGCGGGTTTAAACTATGGTTTAAATTTATGCATGTTGGTTGGGTGTTTTATGTAGGGGGTCGAATGTAATATTCTTTGTATTTGCATCGTTCTAAACTAAAATTTGTTAATTATGAATTAATTTCAGTTTTGAGCTTAATAGATTTGTCATGTAAATATCTATCCTGGCATATCTAATTGTTCTTTGTTACCATCTGTCTAAAAGTTAAAATGGGAAAATGTGGTCCATCTCGTGCGAACTTTCCTAATGACCAGGGTCTCAGTTATTATTGTTATTAGTAAGTTATACACACCACAATTTGGAGCAGCATCACAATGGTGCTGACTGGTGGCCCTGTGTTAAACACACCCTCTCTCCCCCTCTTTATAGTTTAAACACTTGGAAATCTACCTGAACCCCATAATAGTGACTGTGAGCTGCTACTCTTCATGTAATACTAATAAACACTTTGTTTGGTGTGTTAAAACTATGATTCGTCACGTGACTCTGTTGACGATCTGTCACCATGGTGATCTGTCACCATGGTTACGAGAGGTGTATTGTGGAGGAGGAGTATTGTAATGTTACCAATTGTCTAGAAATTATTGGAATTGTTCATTAACTGCTCTTTGTGGAGCTGCAGTTACAATTATTAAAAGCTGCCAATTGTTCAAAATCCGGAGAGTTTTATTTAAAACTGATCATTTGGTTTGCAAATGATCAGTTTTATTTTTGTGAAGGATTTCGGCGATTTAACACGGAATTCTCGGTACCAATCTCTTCTTAATTGATCAAAGATACTTGAGTAGCTCACGATTGAACACGGTCTACCTTCCAATTTGAGGCAGACCTCAGGTCTTGTCACTTAACGTTTAGCGGTATTGTAACAGGGAAATTTGAATGGTCCACATTTCTTAGATTGTTTTGATGTTTATTGGTTTTCACACGTTCAGGGCTAAAACCTAAGTTCAAGGTTATTCCTGGCTCAGTTCACCTCAAGGTTACCTTGAAAGATTCTTGTTTACAGTTAACTGTAGATCTATTTAGATTTCAGACTCATGTTTGTCGTGGCAATCATCTTGATGATGAATATGGTAGTTTGTTTTGACACGTGACAGCAACTTTTCACGATCGATTAGTTCATTTCATTTCAATTTGCTCCGCTATCTGTGCCATAAAATGCTACCTCCGGATGCAGCTGACGATACCCCACTCACAATCCACAAACACCAGGAGATCCCAGGACAACATCCCGCACGTGGGCGCGTCATCAGGACAACATCCCGCACGTGGTGTCGTGGCAGTATTGTAGTTGTGGAGGCGTTCAATTATCATTACACACGTGCATCCTCGTCATTCTACAGAATCTTCAGTTCACATGACCCACTTGACTGCTACCCGAGCTACCACATTATTAATTTCGCTTAGTAGCACACATCCGGTGATGATGATGGCCCTATAATATAGATATTGGTGGCCCTGGAAGGGGTTAAAGTTGAGCTGCTACTTTATAATTAATGATGTGGTGACCAGTCTAAACTTGGGGGTAACCTAAATAGTCTCACCTTGACCCTCTCCACACCGTTATGATATTTTCTCATTAATCTGAAGAGGCAAAGTGTGTCAAATAAGCTACCTTAAACTGTTTGTTGTGAGCAGAGGAGACGTGCGCTGTGATGTTGAAACCGTGAAACCTTATGAGGTTGCTGTCTAGGAGGTTGCTGTCTAGGAGGTTGCTGTCTAGGTTTAAGCTTAGTACAGGATGCCTCCACTCACCTGGCTCCCTTATCGGGTGAACTAGCTACTTTTAAACTGTTTGTTGTTGCTGTGAGACGTGTTTGGTAGAAAGCAGAACCCGTGAAGCCTAGCGGGCTCTTAAAATGAATTGGCGGGAGATTTATCAGATCTTAAGACGACTGTCTACTTCATTAGAATTGTACAGTACTGTACGAAGGTTTCATGATTCTCATAGTCGATCATGGTTTTGCAGTTCTTCAGGTTATGTTTTCCCAAACAACAGAAACAATTAAATGTGTTTTGGCCACCGATATCATTTAAAAAACTGCTCGAATATTCTCGAAGGACGTAGTTCAGTATGGTATTCCACCATTATTGAGTGTGTCAGCTGTACCAGTAGCCACCTTGAGCCCCTTTAATGTGTTAATCTATTGACCGTCCTTATAATCGTAGCATATAATGCTGGACACATTAAATACGTGCCTACCGACCCCCTGTGGGGCTACGACGCCACTATCTGCACAACCAATCAGAGGGGAGTATTTCATCACGTGACCCCTGTAAACCAATCAGAGGGCTGCATGTTAGTCACGAGAGCAATCAACATGCAGGATACAATTGTTAAAGATTAGTAAAAGTTAATTGGGACTGGGAAAACACCCGTATGTAATGGACATGTAGTACGGAGGTTTGGGTTGTTTGCGGAGGTGGCTGACCCAAACTTTGGGTTGTTTGCCAAACTTCGACCACGTATTTAGTTGTTGTCCGTCCATTTTTAATTTTTGTATATTTATTTACCCGCTTTGAGGTGAGTTTAAAGTTAAAGCCTGACAAGTGATAATCCGTTTAACGAAAACAGTTTTAAATCGATGTCACCTTCCTACATATTGATTTAACACAATGGTTTAGCACACGTATCCAACCGCTATGAATTGAACATTCCATTTGTGAAGTGCTGCTTTTCCTTCCGTACGTCTTTTGTATTACCCCCGATGAAGGAGGTGAAGGATGTAGGGGTTGAGTGGTATACTGCCGAGGTTCCTAAAAATAAGAGTTCGGTACGTATGTACGGTATGTTACATTTAGTTCAGTTCACTTAGAAATTCAGTCTTATCTCTAAGAGCTCTTTTATCGAAGATGGCTGTGTTATTTAATATAAATAGCATAAGTTTAGGCTCTGAAACGTGCTTTTAAACACAAAATGCACGTGCAAAGTAATGCACAAGTTCTGGTGTGCTCTCTGATCACAGTTATATCGCTCTAATAGAGTCCAATGTGCGGACACCCCCTAGTTTCCTACCTGATAGAGTCCAATGTGCGGACACCCCCTAGTTTCCTACCTGATAGAGTCCAATGTGCGGACACCCCCTCCAGAGAGGTCGTTATGGTTGGAGTCCTCGTAAACCCACACCGACTGATGTCCACTTTGGTTTGGATCCCGTTTAGTTCGTGGTCTTTCCAGGGCGTCTTATCTCGACCTGGGTTTTTATTGTTATTTGAGGGATATGGTATTTGTGGTTGAGAAGTGTACTGTACTTTAATTTAAAAGATTGATTTTATGAAACTGCAAGGCATTAAAGACTAAAGTGGGGACCTTTTAATCTCATAGATTAGTCGTATTAGTCACTATTATAGACACTCCATTGATCCGTCATCGATGATCGAATGAGGATTTATTTTGTTAATCGACCGATTAAACATATTACTAATTAGTTACTAATTTATACTGTATACTAACCAGTAGATCCAGAGCAGACCCTCACACAAGGGGAAGGGCCCTCTCCATCCTCCCCTCCAAGTGCCACAACATCAGCGCTAACAAGTTCTATCATGCTCACTAGTAATATCACCTTCCACATCATATCTCACTGTACAAATATAGAAATTACCGGCTTAAGGAAACGTTGAATGGTTAAATTGTGAACTGAATTGTTGGTTGGGTGGTTTTATAGTAGGGGGAGTGATCCCCGTAATTATTCCTTTGTTTGATGTTTCTAAACTAATAATTCTGTTGAATTTATGATTAATTTTCCGTGGTGTCTGAGCTGTAAATTATGAACTTTGACATCGTTAACATCATCTCCACTCTTATAAGCATTATCAATTGTTCGTTGAATTAATCATCCTGTCATGAAACATATAAATTACTCTGTCGCTTTAACAATCTCCTGAAAAAGGCCGATATTCTCAAGGTAATAAAGTATAATGCTAACAGTCCAATATATTGGTTTACTGGTTATTAATTACAGTTAAGGTAACATGTGTTCTCTCCAAGGACATCTATTTCTCGAACTTTTACAATTTACATTATCTTCAGAATAAGAGATCGAATAATATCGGTAATTATTAACTTTAATAGTTAACTTTACCTCGAGACCATTACATTTAAGTAATATATAATAACTTTACCCAAGAAGAAAGGTAAGCTTAAACTGTTAAACAGCTTAAACTATTAAAACTGAACGTATATGTAAAGGTAAGCTCAGTAAATTATATGAGAGGTCGGCGTTTAAATAATTAAGTTAGGTAATGTTCGCTACTTATCTAAAACATGGGGGTAACATCGCTCGTTGTGTGTTTCAATGTCAGTGAACTGTATCTTGTTGCATGTATCATCATTGCCGCACTTCTCGTAGTTTGAGGGGCGTTTAATTTCACACCCCTTTCCTCTGTTTCGAATCCCTTCCCATGTCCAGCGCCTCGTTACTAGATTTAATATAGCACGTCCTAATGGCGCCCTTTTGACGCTTAAATACCGCGGCCGATAATATTCAACCGGCGCCAGACTGCCTGACTGCCTGCTGTGCAGCTGGGAATGAATCTGGGTTCCAACTTTCGCGCGCAAATTATTCTTTCTTCTTTTTTTCGCGCGCAAATTATGCTATTACTTTCATTTTCTGGTCGGTATCGTTCCGTCGCACGTTTATTTACGATTTTGTCGTGGAATCTAGCTTGTAAGTGTAAGTATTTACCACATCTTGCTTACCTATCTAAATCTGTTATTGCTACAACGTATGTATCGTTAATCGTACGGCTATAGACCTGAATTCATGCCTTAATTGTACTCAATAGATATGATCTCTAAAGTTATGTCAAGTGTACGATATCGTTGGTTTCGTTATATTACGTTATACTATGTTACTGTACACTTTATCGAAGTGTTATTTGCGGCTACATAGTTTTACGTGTTATACCTTGTAAATGTCACGTGATGCAACAAATCGATATTTATTTATCAAAACGGCCGATATAAGAAAAGTATCGTAGCTTTGTGAGTTCTGAATAATAACGGTTTAAGACTTTAAGAAATTTAGACGACATCTATACGACATCTCTACGAAACAGCATTATCCGTACATTGCACATATCAAAAAAACATAGCATGGGATACGGTTCCATGCCCTGATGGTTCACATTAACTTATATATCATGAATATTATAAATAAATCCTTCCTAAGTGCTGAGCCTCCCTTCAAACCGTGCATGTTTACTCAATAACATTATATTGCTACAAAGTGACCGGTGGAGGGAGCTAGGGAGTAGGGATCTGCTCTCTTTCAACATGTAATTTGAAATCGATTAATCTGCTTTCTCTCTCCGTTTAAACACCATCTTTACACGTTGCTGAAGTTGTGTTGTTGTTGTGACGCTTCTCTTTGTGTGTGGGGGCCGGGATGTTTTGTATTTGCTGTTTTTTTAACGTAGCCGATTGATATTCATATCATTTTTATTGCCGATTCATGTAGAGTTCATGTTGCAAGCACCGAATCGTTTTCCTTCAACCAATACCATTGCTCTCCCCGTTTTAAGGTTAGACTGGAAACCGGATTTTGTAATGTGTACCATTATCGATATTTTAAAATTTGTAAGCTCCCACGGAATTAAGTTTAGTTTTTGCGATATCGTTAGCTGTAGCACACTTATTTTTTGAGAGGCTTCAACCTTAACCTTGATGGCGGCTACCTCCCTTTTAGATTTCGTGTTATTTAAATGTTATTCTCATTAACAAATCAGACGCACATTTGTAAGTTTTACGCTGCATGAACGCGGACTGGCTGAAACTGGTTCATAGCTATTTCCATCCCAATTACATAATATCTAATAATTTGTTGGCGCTTTAACTTGCAGTATAGGTGTGTTCTCTCTTGATTACAAAATTCTGATTTATAATGTATAATTAATGTTTAATCAATGTATAATGTACTGATGGTGGTATTTTACATTTGGGTTATAGCTGAGCTGCCAATCGATTACAATGTGCATTGTGCAATGGCTGAGTACTTGAGTAGTGTTACAAAATCTGGATTTTATAGTTTCCGGTCAATAATTTGCAGTGAGGTTTCACCTTCCAGTTCCCGTCCCCGAGGAATGTTAACGTATAATTGTGCACCAAAGTCCCGTAGGCAGACTAGACCTTACCTTACCATTGAACAATTTGGTAATGATACTTTTAATAGTGGTCTCTTTTTAAGTCGATCTGGTGTTGGCTATTATTTACAACAGTAGTGTTCCAGCAACTAAATATCTTCAATATCTATGAAACTGTAAGAAAGCGACGTTACCGTACATCTCACCACAGACGGTGGTTATTATAAGAGACATTTTGCAGCATCTTTAAAGATTAGAAACATGTTTTGGCTATATTCTGCCGCTATATGGTTTGCGCAAGGTGTATTAATACTAATAGATCAGAATATTTAACCTTGAAACCTTTTCCCTCTGTTGCTTTACTTTTCGTTATAATACCTTTTTGCAGCTTTCACCATTAGCCGAGACGTAGGAATATAATTGTTCCCGTAAAATAATTCGTATGGCTCACAATCACATGTTTGCAGCTTCTGTCGATAGAAATTTACTTTACCTCTTTTCGATTCGATGGATTATTTTAATCCTTTTTGTGGCCGTTTCATATTTATAACAGATACATACTATATTACATTATCTCCACATAGATTTTTGTTCAAAATTTGATGAAGCACCTTTCGCGGAGGCTTCATAATATTACCTTGGGTACCTCAACCTAACCCTAAAAGTAGATATCTAAATGTGCCCCATGAAATGTAACACGTCCCCTGGCTAACTAATAACCATTACTTTATCTTTACTATAAGTATACTGTATAAGTATAACCACCACTATACAATATCTTATTAATCCCTTAGCAGCCCACTGGAGCCATGCTTACTGACCAGTCCCTGCTCCCTGATTAGTAGGACCTTTACCTCAAATAAACTATCATTTTAACACCCGCAAGGCTGCTCTGCTAATAGAAACTACTTAATTAATACAAAAAGTTAAACAGTTAAGTGGTTTAAGTAGCCGCTGCATGCTGGTGTGATGACAAAACTTTCTCTCTTATAGTTGTGTTGTCATACTGCTGTACTATTGTATGACCAGGAGCAAGAGGGACGGGGGCCGGGGGGGGGGGGTATTTATTTGCATATATCACATATTTTAGTCATCAACTTCAGTTGTTTTCCCACCATCTATGACAGAATATAAGCTGTAACTTTGCTAAATTATTTCGTATTTAAATTGTCCGTCCAGATTATAGGTTTGCAGTCTGGCTTAGTAATAGTCACAGCGTGGGTCACTACCCAAGCTGGTGTATCATACACGCTAGAGTATGACTAAGTGACTAGATACATACTTGCATAACCTAAAATTGAATTTCGATCATTTGACCAGAGGCTATAATTCATGATCTGGAAAGAATAGCAGTAAATATTTAACTCATCCTGAATTACCACTATTACTGGAATATCAAGTTTCATTTAAACTATTTCTAGCTCCTTTTTTTTGTGTATTACACATTTTGTCATTGTTGTAAGTCTGCGATTTTTAAATTCCACACCAGATAAACGGTTATGTGCAGCTAATTAAGGCATAATTACAAGATTTCTTTACTTTCATCAGTTTTTTGTTAGGTCAGTTGTCCTTACGCTAAAACTTTAACCAAGAAATCAGTTTCCTCAACTCGTTAAAGATTTTAAACTTACTTTGAGGATGAAATTTAATCTATTTTTGTAATTTGGAACTGCTTAGTTGCTTGTGCCCCCCCCCCCTCTCCGGCCCCCCCCCCCCCCCCCCCCTTTTTAATACTAGTAAAACACGCAGGCTCACTACCGCTGCTTACATCATACATAACAGAAATACCACAATTAGTGGTGAATTTGTCAGCTGTCAAGTTTAACGCCAGCAGCACTCACGTTTCATACTTTCATAGTTCATCGACAACCGCTGATATCTCATCATATTGTATTATATCCTGAACGTTTCCCATTTTGTTTCTCTTATAGTTTTACAGGGAATGAATTTTGAAATTGATGGCCGTTGCTTTAAGATGTGTAAGCTATGTCATGGGGACTTCACAAAAGAGAGGTATAGTATGACGTGATTTATTACCACAGCCAAGGGTTTGATTGAGATTTGGTGTGTCGTCATAGGAACACTCCACACGTGAATGGTTACCAATACCACAATTTAACTGACATGTGGTTTAACACATGTATCTGTCACGTGTTTTACCACGTGTATCCGGTAAGAGCTTACATCATATCACCTGAGACTGGTTAATTATTTGTTTTACTCAGCTTTACTTGTACTTGCAGAAACAACACTGTTTACTTGTACTTGCAGAAACAACATTGTTTACTCGTAGTTTTACTCTGCGCCATTGATACTACTTCATGTTTGGAGGTTGCTTGTTTTATCTTGATGGACAGAATTTTACAGAATTTTACAGTACTTTACTTAAACTGTGAATTTTTCATTTTGGACTTATATTAATAATATACTATTATTTTCTTGTTACAATTTTAATTTGTGTGAAACAATAAAGAAACGAAACTCATCCCATTATAAAATTTTTTAAAAAATTATACATTGTGATAATATAAATTAAAAACATAAAAAGGAGTGCTGTTCGATAAAATAAATTCTTTAGTAAAAAGTCGATTAAGTGCATTATATAATGTAAATACTGGAATATCTCATTGTTTTTCCATTATCTATTCGGATAATTCTGGCTTTTCCCGGACTCAATCAGTTCGGAACATCATGACAGTTGTCAAGGTTCCCGGACTCAATCAGTTCGGAACATCATGACAGTTGTCAAGGTTGCAGCAAGCACCAGTGCTCCAGTACCAACTTTTGGTGCGTCAGAAGCATAAGCTTCTTCATAATAATAATCATCTTCTACTGCTGCATCTTCCGGATAACCCGCATAATCTCCCTCCGCCGGCACCTCTACCTCCTCATCCATAACCTCGGGATCCCTATATTCATAAGTAGCGAGTGACAGAGTCAGGAATGAAGCTAGTAGGACCACGAAAAGTTTCATTGCTAGGATAGTGAAGGTTTATTTTATATGTTGTGTTTTCCTATTTCTTTTGGGAATAAGGACATGCGAACAGGTCAAGAAAAACCAATCTGATGCAATATAAAATACTATTAAGAATAGCAAGAACTCCTAACAAAAAATAATGGAACAAGTGAGCGGACGGTGGCGAATTGTGGCGCTCTTAAGTCTTTAGTCCCTCACGCGCTGTGCGTGAGATCTATAATGCTATTATCTATTATATTCTAATACTGTCGCATGTTCTGGGTGTTTGCTAAATATAGAGCTGCTAGAAAATTATAAGAATTAAATGAAGACAACAAGTCTCAGTCGGAGGTTATTTGTTATTTTAAAATACCATATTCCCCACCAATATTAGGCCGCAGGGGAATGTCAAGATTGAAAGCCTTGCAATGTGTAAAGCAATTTTATAGTAAAATCACGACTCCCTGAATAATTATTGCACGAACACCCGGACTGGTTCTGAAATCATATACTTTTATTATCTAGGAACTATGAACAATTATTCGATTATCCTAGTCCTCTTAACCGTGCATATTAAATTATTTGTCATAATTTAAGTAATATCGAGGAACGTTAAATATTCAAAATTCAAAGTCACGCATAGAATTTGCATGGCTCGAGATAGCCAGTATAGAAAGAGAGTGGCAAACAAGTGGCAACGTGAAAAAGTGTTGGAGAAGTTGGTCAGTAATTAATGGAACTGAAAAACGTTATATAAGACTTTTGTCACTCGTTGTTTCGATATTTCGGTTTGTAGATACCTCAAAGACTCGAATCGGTAACGGTCAATGAACTACATACCAGTAATAATGATAATCGTGAAGTGCTATTAGCAATTCATTAACCCACACCGACCAAACGCATGGCAACAGCATGGCATTATTGGCAATGTAGCTTGGCAACACATGCAGCAACAGCAAGAAACAAACTAAATAAGTTTTGGGATCTTAACAAACGCTCTGAAATCACTTTATACTCAAAACATACTGCCGGCAGGCTATATTAGATATATTATATTTTGGTGGCCGGCCACTGTGCCTCCGAGGCTTTAGCTGGTTAACATAAACAAAACTCTGAAATTACAAAAAACCAAACAAATCCAGCTTCTGATGTTTTATTCCATGCTAAATCTCGCACCTTTCGTGGCTTTGGCTGTTCACTAAAGACCCAAGCAAACTTTATTGAGCTTGCGGTATGGATAATGAAGTTTGAGCCACATATCTGAACAAAAGATGAAATAAGCAAGCAATATTTAGCACATAAATGTGAATTCTGGTGTTTGAGACTTGGAAAGGTTTGAATTTTAAATTTCTGTGCTGACTCCAAATTATCTGAATTTATCGTGCAAAATTTGGATTTAGTTGATATACATAATATATAATAATAGTCCGGTTATTATATTCTAGATTTCTGGTTTTCTAAATTAATGCGCACATGAGAGTCACGTGACTTGAGCCTACACTGCGTATTAGTCGGCCGGTGCTTGATCTTAACTAAAATTTCACCTCATCAGCATTATTCATAATATATTAATAGAAACTATAGCAGCATTTAACAACATTTGAGGGTTAAAGGAAGATGAATAAGAAATACCAAGTTGCAAGTACCACCTGTATTCACACTCAGTATTTTCCAATACGAGATTGGGGACGGGTTCTATAAACAAACAAACAAACAAACAGTAACAAGTGTTGCAGACCTATATCTTCAAGGGTCACCTGGCCTGTGCAATGGTCAGTGGTCACCTGGCCTGTGCAAGGGTCACCTGTGGTGAGTGGCCTGGTGATCGTTTAATCGCTAGTGTCCTAAAAACAATCTAATGTAAGGAATAAGCCAATAAGGCTGAACTATTCTTGTTCTTTTTACTTTTCCTCGCTGGTAATTATATTAGAGACATATCTTTATTAGATTTAATGCTACCTTTTTAAATTAAATCCAAAAAAAGAAAAAATCGTTCTGTTTAAATTTGATTTCTCAGCTGTTTCTAATCAATGTTAATTTAATATTCAATCTTCAAGGCCCCGCATCGATGTTTAAAAAAACTTAAAGGGACACGTACACCTTTTGCAACTGTAAGAGGCTAACTTAAACGAATTATAGACAAACTGAATTTAAATGCAATGGTGTAGTATTTTATATATTACTTATTAATGAATTAAAGCCAATTGTCAGCAACCAAAACGCGAATAATAGCAATATCTAGATTCTATTATTTAATAGCCTTATAGTTATCTTCTATTATCCGACAACAGCCTTATCTGTCTTATCTCCGTAATTAAGCTTATGACAAGAGATATTGGCAGAAACTACAATGAAGTTTTGATATTTATTTATTTGTTTCAGGGAAAGATTAGAATTGAGCGTTGTTTTTTAACTATTTCTTGTTTATAACTTTTATCTAATATAAAACCTTATCTTATCTTACCCCACAATAGCCTTATCTTATCTTACCCCACAATAGCAGACCATGAAGAGATACCTACCGACAGTGCTGATACTGGTAGAGCTACTGGTTGTAGCGTGCAGTGTTGGGAAGGATGCTGCTGAAAGGGAGGCGGTGGAGCGGGAGGCTGTTGCCGTGGTAACGGGCGGTTTGAACACAGTTGTCGTCGTCAAAGAGTCTCGTAAGTGTGTTTGATTAAGTTTATTATGAATAAATAATTCAGATTTTGATTCTGTGTTTATGGATAAGGTAAGGAAATGTTGCCTCTAAACATTATTATACTTCATGCGTATTTGAATATAAAGCCGCAATGTTTTGACCACTTCTGGCTTATGAATTTTATATCGACATTAATTTTAGCTCCAACATCAACAGAGATTCCGTTAACTACAGTTATAGGTAGGGTGAGCAAGAGAACACTAATATTTCATCTTTACATTACCTCTCCAACAATAAGCAGAACCAGTGCAATATCTTTCTTAACCTTGCTTGTTTATTTTGAAGAGCCAGAATGAGCCAAAGAGAATTCTTGAACTAGCAGTTTGTTGTAACCACTAGTAACCAGCAGTAATCACTAGTAACCAGCAGTAACCACTAGTAACCAGTAGTAAACAGCAGTAACCAGCAGTAACCACTAGTAACCAGCAGAACTAGCAATTTGTTGTAACCACTAGTAACCACTAATAACCACTAGTAACCAGCAGTAACCTCTAGTAACCAGCAGTTGCACTAGCAGTTTGTTGTGCATTCACTGTGACTTTTTGCATTGCCTCGCGACTCGCTTCACGGATGATTATCATTTAAACTTTCGTTCTACTTCTTGATTCTTCCACTTGCACGAACAAGCTTCTTCCAAGATAAGTATACTCATGAAAATGTAACACCTCTTGATCGCCCGAACACTATCAGCAAGACGTTTACTAAACTATACACTCTTGTACTAAAATCTCTTAACTAATAATCTTTGACTGTAATTAACTGATTATAAATAAATTATTAATAATTTCATGACACTTTTTCCGTCAGCGTTGGAATCGCTAATCTTTCTGGAGCAACCAGAAGATAAGGATGTGAATGAGAACACTGCTGTACGACTAGCATGCAGGGTCCAGGAGGTAATTAATAAATAATTACTACATAATTACTACATAATTACTACATTATTACTACATTTAATTACTACATAATTACTGCTTAACTTTGATCATTACACAATAATTGTGTAAGTATTTAATCTAATAATAACTATGAAGTATAAATTAAATATGTAGTTACATTAATTAACCTACAGGTGCAGGGAGCCAGCTATGTGTATGAGTGGTTCGTTTCCCCGGACCTCAGAAACATCCAGATGGTAAGACTTCACGTGATACATATATAATATATATTATGGAATTTTCCTATTTCTATAACTTATACTTACATACATGTTACATGGCGAGATCTCCATCCAAAAGGATTAGTCTGCGTCATCTGCGTCATTACTTTGTATTATACAACTTCGGCGGGTAATATTTCTCCATCCTTTTCGATCTGCAGCCAATCTTCTCATACAATCAATCGTGAGTCCATTACGATCCAATCTCTGCTCAGCATATTCAATAAATACATCATTTAAGCTCTTCCTAGGCCTGCCTCTTGATCGTTTCCCATGCTTGGGTTTCCATTCAAGTAGATAGTTAGGTAACCGATCTTCAGGCATTCTACTGACATGTCCAAACCAACGTAGCCGTTTTGTTGCTATTATGTCAGTAAGAGCAGTTATTGAAGCCCTTCTTAAAACATCTTCATTTCTTACTCGATGGAACCACCTCACTCTCAGGATTCTGCGTAAGCAGTACTGATGGAAAGACTCTAATCTTCTTGTCTGCACTTGAGTCGTGTTCCATATCTCACTTCCATAGGTCAGAATGGTAAGAACAGCTGCGATGTAGATTCGCACTTTGTTGTTAATGCTTATGTTCTTATTCTTCCAAATGTTATTGAGTTGGTTAAAAGCTCCGGTTGCTTTTCCAATCCTGACACTTATTTCTTTATCGATCTTGCCATCCGATGTAATTTTGGCACCCAAATAAGTGAATTGAGTGACCTGCTTTGCACAGTCATCAAATCAGTCAGTTTCCCCTGATTTTCTGTAACCGCTACATTTAAGGCGCTAACCGTTAAACCCGCGACTTCATCTCAGCATTCAGATCTAATATTTTGGCAGTAACCAGGTGTAACCAATAGTAACCACTAGTAACCATCAGTAACCACTAGTAACAACTAGTAACCACTAGTAACCAGCAGTAAGCACTAGTAACCAGCAGAAACCAGTTGTAACCACTAGTAACCATCAGTAACCAGTTGTATCCACTAGTAACCAGCAGTAACCACTAGTAACCAGCAGTAACCACTAGTAACCACTAGTAACCACTAGTAACAACTAGTAACCAGTTGTATCCACTAGTAACCAGCAGTAACCACTAGTAACCAGCAGTAACCACTAGTAACCACTAGTTTCTCAGCACGAAGATAACAAGATATCAGGAGCTGACGGTCCGGAGCTATTTATCTCCTCAGTACAGTCCCACCACGCTGGACAATACATCTGTACTGTTACTGTTCAGGGGACGAACTTTACTGTTATCAGCAATACTGGCCAACTCAAGGTAAAGTAATAAATGTTACAACTCAAGGTAAAGTAATAAATGTTACAACTCAAGGTAAAATAATAAATGTTACAACTCAAGGTAAAGTAATAAATGTTACAACTCAAGGTAAAGTAATAAATGTTACAACTCAAGGTAAAGTAATAAATGTTACAACTCAAGGTAAAGTAATAAATGTTACAACTCAAGGTAAAGTGCAGGTTTTAGTACAATTTGTTTTTATACTGGCCAACTCAAGGTAAAGTAATAAATGTTACAACTCAAGGTAAAGTAATAAATGTTACAACTCAAGGTAAAGTAATAAATGTTACAACTCAAGGTAAAGTAATAAATGTTACAACTCAAGGTAAAGTAATAAATGTTACAACTCAAGGTAAAGTAATAAATGTTACAACTCAAGGTAAAGTGTAGGTTTTAGTACAATTTGTTTTTATATACTCAAGGTAAAGTACAGGTTTTAGTACAATTTGTTTTTATATACTCAAGGTAAAGTGCAGGTTTCAGTACAATTTGTTTTTATATACTCAAGGTAAAGTGCAGGTTTTAGTACAATTTGTTTTTACATACTCAAGGTAAAGTACAGGTTTTAGTACAATTTGTTTTTATATACTCAAGGTAAAGTACAGGTTTTAGTACAATTTGTTTTTATATGCTCAAGGTAAAGTACAGGTTTTAGTACAATTTGTTTTTATATACTCAAGGTAAAGTACAGGTTTTAGTACAATTTGTTTTTATATACTCAAGGTAAAGTGCAGGTTTTAGTACAATTTGTTTTTATATACTCAAGGTAAAGTACAGGTTTTAGTACAATTTGTTTTTATATACTCAAGGTAAAGTACAGGTTTTAGTACAATTTGTTTTTATATACTCAAGGTAAAGTACAGGTTTTAGTACAATTTGTTTTTATATACTCAAGGTAAAGTACAGGTTTTAGTACAATTAGTTTTTATATTTTCATTTTCTAAAAGAAAGACTTGCTACATTTCTCAACTCAAGTCACTTTACTTCAATCCTCATATTTAGTGATCGAACATGTATGTATAATGTATAATGACACTGATATTTTCATACAGATAAACTACTACGATGGACCGAGAGAGTCAATAGATTTCGGGGACGGTAAGAGAGTATCCGTACAGAAGAACAAGGATTACCAGTCCCTCTCATGCATTCTACCTGAAAGTTACCCCAAAATTGAGGCTGTATGGTGAGTTCCAACTTCAGTTTTGGGTTTCTGGCTTGTTTTTAGTTGGGTTGTGACTAGTTTCTAATTAGTTTTAATAAGCTCATGTTCACTTCTTCCTTTTCGAGAGTTGAGATTGATTTTGCGTTCTGTTTAAGGTACAAAAACGGTGAAAAAATAGCAGATGAACGACGAATGTTCATTCTCCCCCGAGAAACTTACTTTGGAAGACAAAAGATATTCGGAGGGGCTCTCATAATCATGTTAGTATAATTAATTAATATGTATAATTAATTAGTATAATTAGTTAGTATAATTAATGTTAGTATATATATAATCATGTTAGTATAACTATAACAGTATAAGGAGAAGTATTATATACGGAGCAACGCTGATCTGACATTATTTCACTGTAATATATATAGTGCTATCTTTTGTAAACCTTGTTGTACGGCGAATGATAAGGAGAAATAAGTAATCTTTACTTATGACAGTAGACGGTAGAGATTAACATAAGATTGCTGTGTACATTGTACACATTGTACATATTGTACAGACAGTGCTGTGTACTGACCTCTAACTTATTTGCCATCGAGCTGTCTCGTCTGATAGATTTTTGGCTAATTTGCACATAAAGAAAAGTTTAAGTGTCTGAAATCAAGATTTGGAATATCTGCCTTGCCATTGTCCACCGAAAACTAAAATAAACAGGTTTTTGCTACGTATCAACCTTGCTCAATCCCTCAGTTAAGTATGAAAAACCACTGATGCATGATAAACAGTTTCTTTATAAATAAATTTAAGTCTATAAAGCTATAATATTATAATTGACGTATTTCACAACACTTTTATTTCCCTGTTTTCTGTTCTAACACGGTGCATCTTTACCAGGTATATTGACCGGGAAGATAAGGGGGTGTACGACTGTAAAACAACTTATAACGGTACTGAGTACTTACTACAGAGATATACCCTGCGCGTTGTCGTGAGTTTCACTTTCACTTTGCCTTCAAAATAAACTCAGAAAAGAACTTATTGACTATGTGTTCAGTCTATGTATTTACAATCTAAATTTAGCTATATCATCTTACTTCTTATAATGCAAGGTAAAGTCGCTGTGTATATTTATATGTCTATATCCGTATTAAACTGTACGTGGGACGCGGAAGTAATCCCAGTAACACCTTCAAACTTTGCGACACAAATTTAATACGAGCAATTTCATTATTTCATGGTCTCTGAATTTCTTCAAATCCCATTTACTACAGAAAGGTGGCCGATTCCCTAATTTCAACTTGATATAATGCTATGTCTCAGCGGGCAATATATAGATCATGAAAGTCATTTTCCCGTAGCTTCATGAATCATGATACAAACCCCGATTCACCGCGGCCATTTCTTTCCCAAAATATGGATGAATTAGAACGCGTACAAAACAAAACCCCGATTTCTGCAAACCAGGACCCCCGGCCTCCTTGCCGCCTTGCGGTTAAAAATGCAGGCTTTTTTTCTTTTATTATCAAACCTCAAAACCTGATTCAGACATAAATCATTTTAATCGCTAAGTACAGAGATATTAGTTTCTTGAATCAGTAGTAGCCCCTTTTAAGAAAGTCATATATTTATCCGCTGTACCAGGTACCCTCCACCAAATCCACACTAAATTCCACGAAAATAAATAAATAAAACTGATAAACAAAGTTTAAAATCAGCTAAATACCAGGGAGAGGTTCAAGCGTCCAACCTGATAAAACCGAGTAATATAGTGACGGTGGACGGGGAGAGCACGTACGGAGGACAGGCTACTCTATACTGCTCCGGTATTGGCAAACCAGCACCTCGTATATCCTGGAATAAGGTACATGGTGATACACTTTAATTTACTTATTAGTTTACGTATTTAACCGATATAATGTGAAATAATTAGGACTACTGCTTTACTTATTAGTTTACGTAAGAGTAAAGTATTGGTTAAGTATTAGACCAAGTTTACACAGTTCAAAATAAATTAAACATTGATTATATAATCGAAGTAATATAGCAAGTATATTAACTTAAATTAATATAACAGATATATTAAGTAAAGTGTTTTCTATCAGATGGATGGTTCCAGAGTAGAAACAAGCGAGAAGTTCCTGCTCCAAGACAACAGAAGACGACTTGTGATTACAAATGTTAACAGTGATGACGGTACATCTTACACCTGCTCTGTGACTGTCGGGTGAGTGACATCTCGTTATTATGTCATGTTGTCACGTGACTATGTCATCCTGTCACGTGACTGTGTCATCTTGTCACGTGACCTTGGCCTTAAAAAATAAAACATACGATAACCCACTCTAATCACGTGACACGTAGCTCCTTATGAGCACATACCTGAGTTTCATTCACAGAGATGGTTCATACAAATACAATTTTAATTAAAGTTGTTTTAATTAAATTTGTTCAGAATTGCTTAGACGGCACGGTAATAATTTAAACGGTCTGATTCATTGATAAGTATAACGAAGAAATGAGGAAACAAAACATCATGCAGTATAAAAGGAGCAAATATTTATGAAAATGGAAAAATTATGAAAAACGAGCATCCTATTTTTATATATAATATATATAAAAATAGGATGCTCGTTTTTATTATATTATGTATCCTACAGGGATATTTAAAACATATATTTAAAACTGCCTCCTCTCAGCGCGTGAAAATGTGGTCACGTGACACGTCCAGGGACACGTGACAGTAAACCTTGTAAACCTCGTGACAGTAAACCTTGTAAACCTCGTGACAGTAAACCTTGTAAACCTCGTGACAGTAAACCTTGTAAACCTCGTGACAGTAAACCTTGTAAACCTCGTGACAGTAAACCTTGTAAACCTCGTGACAGTAAACCTTGTAAACCTCGTGACAGTAAACCTTGTAAACCTCGTGACAGTAAACCTTGTAAACCTCGTGACAGTAAACCTTGTAAACCTCGTGACAGTAAACCTTGTAAACCTCGTGACAGTAAACCTTGTAAACCTCGTGACAGTAAACCTTGTAAACCTCGTGACAGTAAACCTTGTAAACCTCGTGACAGTAAACCTTGTAAACCTCGTGACAGTAAACCTTGTAAACCTCGTGACAGTAAACCTTGTAAACCTCGTGACAGTAAACCTTGTAAACCTCGTGACAGTAAACCTTGTAAACCTCGTGACAGTAAACCTTGTAAACCTCGTGACAGTAAACCTCGTAAACCTCGTGACAGTATGTCCTTGACAAACTATTGATTCTGCATATTCTAATAATTTCGTATAATTTGTCCGGTTCCCAATTTGTCAATATAACGTCTCCTGATTCTTGGAGCGAGGTGTTCACACTTCACACCTGTGCCGAGACTGGTCACTAACTGGTCACTTACTGGTCACTTACTGGTCACTTACTGGCCACTAACCGGCAAATAACTGGTCACTTACCGGTCACTAACTGGCCACTGACTGGTCACTAACTGGTCACTAACTCCAGAACCTTCCACAGGGGTGCTGGCAAGAAAACTCAGATTGTTAGCATGGATATAATTCCCCCGGTCTCAGCTCAGATTACATTTGTAGAGCAGCCCAAGTCTCAGATAATCTTTACAAACAGATATCCTACATTCTCTCTCAAGTGTTCTATCAACCTGGCCGAGTAAGTACCGGCCTTTTCTTCAGTTCATTTCAGTTTCCGTGCAAAGTATTACGATGAAATAAAAGACAATATTGAACTATAAAAACTAAAAACCAACAAACCTCAGGTTTATTGGTGTAGAAGGAAGTATGATGCCAGTACTTTACTGGTTAAAGAACGGTAACCAGTTGGGCTTCTCTAGTCGGAGAAAGTCCACAACCAGACAAGACTCAGAGACCAATGTGTTGGAGAGCTCGATAGAGTTTGTTTCTCCGAATGAGAGTGATTTAGGTTCGTGTTTATGTTGTGGTTCCAGTTAGCCCTATTTTTTAATGAAGTATGCTAACAACTGGCCGAGGAGATGCAAATCGCTTTTACTTGTAACTCAAACTTACATCACCTCCCGCTACCTTATCTTACGTTAAGTTGTTTGATTTATCAGCTAAATATAACGCCTGTGGTAGGAATATATCAGTGTATTGCACGAGGCATAACACAACTGAGACAAGTAACAGCTTACGTAAACGTGAGGAGCACTGAGGGGGACTACAATATGGAGGTGGTGGAACCTAAATATGACTTTATCAGCGTTCCTATGACTGTAAGTATGATTTCATCAGTGTTCTGTGTTTACTCAGGGGGAGCAGGGACAAAAGGAAATCGCGGTATGTGCGGGATCACGATTTTTCCCATTCTTTGCGACAAATTTTATATGTCGAGTCTGTTTGGCTTGTCGCAGTATCGCGATTTTTGGCCAAAATAATCGCGATTTTCGTTTTGTCCCTGTGGGGGAGTAGTACGTGGCTAGAAATTATATTATCATGTTTTTGTTTGTTTTGGTATATTTATGTCTTGTGCTATGCAAAAAAACCACACAATAAATTATCAAACGACTCCCGTAAGTTATGTGCCGGCATAGTTGGCGGATTTTAAAGGTGTTTGAAAATATCAAGTTTTTGCACAATTACAGTCATGTCATACAAGCATAAAATTGTGGCTGTATATGACTGATAGGAATTTACTTTACAACATCTTAACCACTGTATTTTTGCTAATCTTGGCTCAAGCTCTGCCGGATTTATTTGCTATGTTGTGAAAGCAAATTTAAAAAATATGGTAAAGTGACGGTCCCTTATTTACAGGTGTCGGCAGCCGAAGAACACTGTAGGTCCTGGATGACAAACGGTCATTTAGTGAGTATTATGAGCAGAAAAGAGGCGGATACTGTCACCCGACTTCTCAAACAAGAGAGTGAGTAAAACTCTTATCATCTGCTTAGTGTTATCTTGCACGTGGAGTAAAACTCTTATCATCTGCTTAGTGTTATCTTGCACGTGGAGTAAAACTCTTATCATCTGCTTAGTGTTATCTTGCACGTGGAGTAAAACTCTTATCATCTGCTTAGTGTTATCTTGCACGTGGAGTAAAACTCTTATCATCTGCTTAGTGTTATCTTGCACGTGGAGTAAAACTCTTATCATCTGCTTAGTGTTATCTTGCACGTGGGCGTGAGCACTTTACGGACCTAGAGTTGAACCGTTTAAAAACCCCAGATTTAGACTATAAACAAAACACTAACGTATGTATTAATGCTTTTCAAACAAAGTTACAACGAATTATTCTGTAGCGCTCAGGAGATACTTTAAATGTTGTATTTTACACTTTTACTGGTGCCAACTCTAGATTATCATAAGCTAAATGTAATTCTAACACTGGCTTCATGTTCAGATATAGAGCAAGCCTGGATAGGACTAACTTGTGAACGGTACTCTGGCACCTGGCTCTGGACACAACCTGCCGACGATTCCAGCAAATTCAGTTTCTGGGCTGAAGGTGGGTTAACTACCCTTCATCATCACGTGACACTTCATTGTCACGTGACACTATAATTTGTTGCGCCACACCATTAATTATTATAATAGTTAATAGTTAATTAGTTAATAGTACTGTGTTTACAGTATGCACTAGGGGTATCCTAGGAAGTTTCTTGAACTTTTAACAGGTACCCCTCCTCATTTAAACCTCAATAATAAAGTTTCCTATCATTCGGCTGAGTCGACCGAGGAGATCGCATTGATCCAATGGATCCTTAGCTACTTTTTTAAGCACCTGATAATGTAACTAAACAGAACATTCTCAGAGAACCCTGATAACCTGTACGCGGGTGAAGAGTACGCTATAATGGACACAAGTCTGGAGGGTCGGTGGCTGGATGTCCGACTGGCCGATAAAAAGTATCCCTTTGTGTGTAAACAGTACACCAAGACGTGTCCTAGTATTAGAGAGTATTACAGTGGTAAACTTGAACCGCTTAATAAAGTGAGTAGCGGTAAACTACTTTAGCTGCTTTAGCTGAGTAGAGGGGGATTCTTTCAATTTTCTTATAAATTATTTTTGAAATTTTTCTTAGAAAGTTAGGATTAGCCGGCATTATTACTTTATTATTACTATTGACTTTGTAATCCTCCTGGACTCGCAAGTGTTAGATCTCAAATCTAATGGACAGCCGTCACTCACCAAACGACTCACAAACAATATCATTACCAGGTTGAAAGTAAAGATACACGATATGGGGTCGGAGAGAGTATAACTGTAACCTGCGTTGATCGAACGGTAAGATTCCAAACACAAGGAAATATTTTACAGTTTTTAAAATTTCGGCGTCTATTTTCTTAAGAGTTCACAAAAGAATAAACGTCAGCAAGTTATATGTTCTCTAAGCTTAGAGGAAAACTGAAATAAACATTGACTAAACCCTCAGGTTCAGATCAAAGAAACTTTAACTTGCACTACGTCGGGGAAATACTATCCTGACGAGGGTTTCGCCTGTCCCGTCTACAGTTCTGCTCCTTCACAAACATTTTCATCATTTATTCTCCTAGTGTCGGTTATTAGCAGGTTAATTATCAGATTGTCCTGAAATTATTAGCTGTCTGTATTATAGGTTCTGCTTTTCTATAGCAGGGAACTGTTTTGTATCATCTTTTTAATCAGAAACGAAATGATAGTAAATTGTGGGTCCCGCACTGTTGGGGACGATTGTAAGATATTTATTCAGAGTTTTGATGTCGAAGAAATAAATTGTGATGATGTGATGCCATTTGGTGATTGAGCTCTCATTTCCGAAAATAAGACATATCAAACTGCCAGACTTGCCAACTGGAATCATAGTTTTCAGCGTGTATGACAGTTTAAAACTGGATCGGACACGATGCAACAATTGGCTCTGAAAACCCGTTTACTGTACTTCGAACCTTGAAACTGAAGGAGGACCGAGATAATGTTCACACAAGCCATGCCCTTATTTGGGTATCACGTGCCATGTAGAAGTTTTAATATTTACAGATTTCCCTCTAAATTCATATTCATGAGATTTAAGCAGCGAGCTTTTGTAAACAGACCTTTTGAATTTCGAACTTGCGTAGATTCCGTAAAGCCATGCCCTTATTTGGGTATCACGTGTCATGTTCCCTAAAGTTACATTATCTTGATCATAATACAGAGTTCTCAGTTCAAAAAGATTGGAGAGCATTACATACTGCATACTGCATAGTCCAGTATTGATAAATTGGCGAAATTTCCAATAAAAATCATCTGTTTTTTATATAATGATAAGAATGAATAAGAATGATCTCAAATACTTTTGACATTCAGATTGTAGGTTCGATGATTAATTAATTTTAATGTTACCTCATTTTTATCGAATTCCTAAAAAATATTTATTTGAGTTGTATCCACCAATTAGTATATATGTACAAGTTTAATTCACCTGGGCCAATTTGATGTTAACATGTAACGACATTAGATTTAATTTCTATTTCGTTATATTTTTAACGTAGACCTAATTTACTGTAAAACGGTTACATTTGGTCACAACATCTCATTTTACATTATTCATTTAGCTGACATTTTATTTAAATTTGTTGACATTTATTCTATTACAGTAGAATGTCTTTTCGAGTGATTAATAGATGTGGATACTGGCGGGGAGGTGATAATTGTTTGTTTACATTAATAGTGAGCACATGTTAAGCAGGCTGAGGAGGTGATAATTGCTAGTTTACATCTAAGTTTACATCAGTAATTACAATTTTAATTACAAAGAAGTTAACGAGTGAACGATCGTTTCTTCAGAATTTTCAAGGAATTCATAAATTTTTATTTTTAAAGAGCACACTCTGTGAATGTAATCAGGGATCCTGGACATTAAATTAAAGTGGAATATTAAACTATTTTTATTGATTAATATATTGATCTGTAAATAATGATAACTTATTCGTACGAAGTGGATTTTGTTTACAAACGCAAACTTGGCTTATTTTTATTGTACCACATAAAGCTATGAACTAAACCGTCAGTTGCCAACCAACCTGATTCTGATTGCTGCCAGACGAGAGGGCCCCCTAGCTGTGATCTAACTGCATTCACAATGTCCAAACGCTTTAGCTACTGCAAAAAATATTCCGTCTTGTTAACGCTAGGTAATGTTGTAGTATAATAGGTAAGGGTCTGTAGTCAGTAGATATTAGAGCCTTAAAGTTAATAAGGACGAATAGGGCAGTGGGCACATCACGTCTTGTGGAGGTTCACCAGTGCAAGTAGGAAAGAGAGTTTAGTCGGGAAGAGTTGATACACGTTGTATAAATTCGATACTGTGATAAGAGTTGATACACGTTATATACCACTTTTCACAGAAAAGAAGGTGAAAAGTGAATTGTGGCTTAAAGTTAAAATGTATGTTTATACTCACCGGATTACACTGGCTTACTTTCAACTTGTAGTTGTATGAATGACCCTTATCACTTATAAATATAATTGACCGTGACGGATGTTACTCGTCTAAGAGTAAGACTAAATTTCTTCGAAGTAGCGCGCCGCTTTCTTCTCGAAATACAAAATATAAACCGAAATAATTAATTTCCATCGGTATTTTGTCGAACTAAACATCCTGCGGCTGCACCCTTTGAACATCCTCGAATTGCTTGAATCTCAAAAATTGGCGAGCTGGAGGCCAGTCTTACAGGTTCCAATACTAATAGGTAAGGACGTATCAGAGCTTACTGGGCCGCGCTCAGCCTGTCATTCCGCCAAATCTTTATTATGTTAATGAACATAATAGCCTTCTCAAACATTTTATTACATTATCACTTCTCAAACATTTTATTACATTATGTTGTTATCTAGTCTTGCTGCTAAATAGATAAGCCGACAGTGCAGCAGCTCATCGTGACGTGGCTTAAACACTAATACTACGCACACTGACTACAACACTACAGATAACAGAGACCCCTAGGCTCGGTGGCCCCAATTTAATTGGGCCCCTCCTTCCACATAAGTCCACCGTAGCCCTCCTTGAAGCGTAAGTTTACCTTTCTACATGACTGAATCGACGGAACGCCCGTTTTGTTTCTCAACTGCAACCTGTTTGGAATTGGTCGATAAACTCATTGTATCTCAACTCGACCGTGAATTGCTGCTCTTTGGAGCGACTGAAGATGACCTTCAGTTATGCAAGCAATCCAAGCAGAAAATGCTACGTGCACACATTCTTGACAGTCATAAGTGTACCTCTACATTAACCGAAACTACTGACAAACTTATCTCTCTAACTCAAATTTTTTCGAGATCGTCCACTGATGCGATGACCGGCCTCCAGAACACCGTTAGTGAAGCACAGTCCCTTGTCCAGTCTCTACGTGACCATTCTGCTCACCCTCCTACTCAACCTACAACCACCCTCCCCGAAATACCTGCACCACCAACACCGGTCCAGACTGTGGAACAGCCCTTCTCCAAGCTCGAAACTGGTGACCAGCTGCAGAGGTTTGACTTTAAGAGATTGGACTCTGAATTAACCTATGATAAAGTTTTCTCGAATAGAAAGGTTGCATATTTTGGCGATGCTCCTTACAAGTATTTAGGAGGGTACCACAGGGCAAAGCAATTAGACCCTGAGACGTACCTTGCTGAAATACTTGTAGCAGTTGATGATGTGTGCAAGACCAACAACATCAACTATAAGGATTTCAATAGCTGCATGATCACCAAATATGAATCACACGTCTCGTGTATACCTCCTCATTCCGATGATGAATCGTGTATAGTACCCGACAGCACTATACTTACCATTTCCCTGGGGGGTAAAAGGGATTTGGTTTTTCGTAGACGTCCTCCAGGCGAGTATCGCGATGAAACCGTGACAGTTCAACACGGCGACTGTTACACTATGACGCGAAAATCGCAGGACCTTTTTGACCATGCTGTTCCTCCGCAAACTCAGGCGGATTTTGAAGGTCCTCGAATCAGCTTAACCTTTAGACAGTTGGCCTCGGCACATTCCAGAAAATCTAGCAGCCATCAGCTGCGACCTCTACCCCATCATAAAGTGAACCAGACCAAACGAGTGCTGATACTGTCTGACAGCAAAAACTGTAATTTTGACTGTTCTCAATTTCGTTCACCTGTCATAGCGTTCCGGGAAAACTTATTTTTCCTCCGCGACTTAAAGGAACACCGGGAATCGATTCAACAAGCCGACATTGTACTCATAAGTGCTGGCATAAACGATATCCAGAAAAACAGAGCGAGTGCCGTCCTGCTGCATAATCACATCAGAAGTTTCATAGAACAGTTCCCGCGCACTATGTTCTTATTCGATGCAGTCAGTCCACTATCGATACATGCTGACCGATTCAACACCCACAACGACATTATCCAGTACCTTAATGAACTCATGTTCAAGTGCTCCCTTCACCATGACAACTTCAGACTCTTCGACAACTCAAGTTTTAGTCTCGCTCACCTCGCTCGTGACGGTCTACATCTTAATTATATTGGACAGAGTGTATTATCAGATTGCTGGGTAAACTGTGTGCTCATTGGACTGGGGTTCAGGCGTGGACCCCTACCTCTACGTGAGCATTTTAAACGTATGATATCTTATCCAATCCCTGGCCACTTTGGCACCTGAGCACGACGTATTTTATATCTTAATGTCAAATTATCATGACAAAAATATCGAATCCTGAACAACTTTCCAGACTCGCGCTGAGTCGCAAACAATTTCACTAATCAAACAAACGTAACTTATTTGAACAAACTCTTACCATATTTTTTAAATTTTCCGTCATTTCAAATCAAAATTAGAAACTTAAATCAATAAATTCAAACTCAAGCACAAAGCACATAATACAACCAACTACTTAAAAGAACTTTTCCCTTATCCAGATTCCCTACCTTCTCATCTTATCTATCACACCTTATCAGCAAAACGCGAAATAAACCCTGCTTGATAATAGTCCACGTCCCTACATCATAACAATCATTTCATATTATCTAATTCCTAACCTCATGCCGTACTCAGACAACGACGACGCAATATTTACACGATATCTACACAGATATTTTACACAGTACTCATTATACATACATCACACATTACTGTACATTTGACTCTGTACATTTGACTGATCTGTACATTTGACTCTGTACATTTGACTCTGAACATTCGACACATACATTACTGTACATATGGAAATTAGGCTCATGCACGGTGAGCTGCTGCCATCAAGTAATAGAAGAGAAGTTAAAGGTCAATCATAAAGGTAAAGGTGAAGTTTACTTAATTACTGTAGATAAGTCACGGTACTTTCTACACACAGGACTGAAAGTCTTCGTTAGAAGTATCTGACTAGGTCACGTTATTATTATCATATTTTGTATTAATAGTAAGTCTATACTCTCTTAAATATATCATAATATAACTATAATACTAACGAATATAATACATTATCTCATAGTTCTATGAACGAATCTCAGCGTTGCAACAAATGTAATACACGTATTCCTAAAGCACGTTCGTTCCTAATTTGCAGTCACTGCGACAAAATAAAACATATGAAATGCATGAAGTTATCTAAGTCTGAGGCAAAAATAATTGTAGATTCTGGCTCTGCCTGGATATGTTATGACTGTATTTCCAGCGCCTTACCAGTAAATGCATGCCCCTCGGCAAAGCCACCGAGACAAGGGCCCGTCATAGGTCCTAAATTTAAAGTTCAATGCACATGCTGTAATGGCTGGATTTACTCCCCGGCCAACCTGAAAACCTGCCACTGGTGCGAATCTAAAGTATATACCAAATGTCACTCCGACTCTTTAGGATGCAGAAATTGCTGTGAAAATATGATCCCGGGATACTATGTACATTGCTATCAGCTATACTCATTACATACACATACTCACACCGGCGTAATCCACAATCCCTACGATCGCAATCAGTTGATTAACGAAATAGGAAATACAATTGACCAAGATCAGGAACTCGAATATTGGAATGAGATTTCTGATATTTTAGTTAGCTGCAATTACATGGAGCCGACAAATGTAAGTTCGTCAGGACCATGTGATCTTAAGATATTTACCTTAAATATACGGGGACTTCTTAAAAACGTAGACAAATTAAGAGAAGATATATTCACGTACTCGAAGTATGATGTCCTTTGTTTTAACGAGACTAATCTCTTGCAGGATAAGCTTCCTAATGGTATTAATGACCTAGTGATTGAGGGATTTTATGAACCACTGTTACGAGATCCAATACGTAGTTCTGGTCGTGGTGGGGGTTTAGCAATTTATATCAATACGCGCGTATGCGAGTCTGAAAATATTGAAAAATTCTTTCCCCAAAACTTTGATGTGACAGACAAGAGTGGTGAATTCATGTTGGTAAAACTCCATAACTGCAAAGGCTTTAACAAAACAAAGATAATCGTCAATTATATATATCGGTCACCAGCATCAAAAAAATCCTGATAATTTTAACAAACTCATTGACTCCCTATTACACGGCATAGAAAGGCACTCGAGAAAACATACTATATTAGTCGGTGATTTCAATGTAGATCTTACACATTATGATACTGGCAAACATTGTCAAAATTTGATTGAAACTATGACTAAATACGGTTTCTTTCAGCTAGTCTCACGTCCCACACGTATCACTGATCACAGTGCCACTCTTATAGATCATGTTTACAGCAATAACGTACAACACACACACAGCTGCAATGTTCTTACTGTTGACCTGTCTGATCATCTAGCCACTCTTGTTACTATCTCACTTGGGCAATACAGCCACATTGCAGGGAGTAGAAACGAACGACACAGAGTCGACCATGGAATGAATATTGAAAAACGTATGTTTAACGAGTCGAACAACCTTAAATTTATAGAATTAATTGGATCCGAAATGTGGGAGGAAGTCACACGTGAAAATTGTGCTGATGAACAATATAACAAATTTATTGA